AGTCGCCATAAAAATAAGTAGTAAAGTAAAGTAAAAATATCAGAAAAATCTACTTGAGTACAGTAACGAAGTATTTGTACTTTGTTACTTCCCATCTCTGTTTGTTCCAAACCAGAAACTGAATCATGGACCCCTTTAACCAAGGTCTCCACTCCTCAAGAGCTAAATTGACTGCCAACAGTTCACGATCCCTGACTTCATAGTTCCTCTCAGTACATAAAAATTTCTTAGAAAAGAAATAAAGCAAGTGAAGCTTGGAATAGTGATACTTAACTGCGATCTCATTTAGACCCCTAAAGTCTATGCATGGTCTAAGGCAGGGGTCGGCATTCCAAACTGCTCAAAGGGCCATATTGGACCACAAAAACAAAAAATAATCTGTGTGGAGCCACAAAATGTAAAAGTCTTATATATGCCTCGTATGGCGTATTTGTTTTATAGAATGCTTTCGTTAATTTTGTATTTTTATTGGTTCTTTTGTTATGTCCTGCCTCCCTGATGTGGTAGACTTGGGTTACTCGATCCCTATTTAAGCAGCCTTTGAGTTGGTTTCTCAGTTGACGTCAGTTGAGTTGGGCCCAGATGCATGCTATTTATTATTGAAGTTATTTTGTATTGTTTTTGAGCCTTTGTTAACTATTTTTGACACTATTATATGAAAGTTTTTTTTTTTTTCAAAATTTGAACACCTTTTGTCCTTATTTAAGTGTTGTCCCTCACATGGACGTATTTCGTATTTCTGTGGGGAGAAGTTGATTGAGTCTCAAGGAACCAAGCAGGAACTGACATCCATCAGAGCAGTGCTCTCTTACCCCGAAATCCCACATCCTCTGTCACTCTCGTTCCTTGGTGTGATTTATATTTTTTGGATTTGGGGAAAAAATAGAAGAAAGTTCACATACCTGCATCACAGCACTACCTGTTTGGGCGAGCGAGTTAAGTCAAGTTTTGCAAAGCGTTTATTTGAACTTGAACTAAAAGGGTTTATAAAGAGCTCTAAATTCATGATGTGAATAATGTGGTGTGATGGTCTGTGAGAGAATTTATGTGAACTCTTTCATCTTGATTTTCTTGTTTTCCAACTTTGCAACCAAACTAGCAGCAGTAGTGGAGTTTGGAGATGCAATCCACTTCTTAAATCTGTCTTTGCGCTCCTCTAATTTATCCAGTTCTGCAATCGCACTTTTTCTCTTACTTCCAACTTGGTGGTCGGCTTCATATTTAGCCTGCCTTCCCTGGAAATGCCTTTCCAAATTTTTATTTTTATTTTCTGACAACCTCTCATTACAAAGCAAAAATGCAGGCAATCCTTCTGCATTGATAATGAACGCAAATGATTTGGTCCATTTTTTCAATCCTCTTTTCTCATCAGCTATCTTCCTTTTTTCTCTTTGGGATCCATGTCCGAGACACACCCACCAATTTGTTTGCCTGGCACCCGCCACGCTGGTTGCAAGTTATGACCACTGATCTGTATGGTTAGGACGCAGGGCTAAGGGAACCATCCTTTTTCCCTACAAAAAATAAACCTGGACTGGCAGGAGAGTATGAAGGATGAATAATGCCTGCCTTAAGTGAATCAGAGATGTACTTCCCTACAGCCGAAGACTCAGGGGCAGACAAAGAAAATAATCGGCCCCTAGGGAGTGAAGTTCCTAGCAGTAAATTGACGCCACAATCATAAGGTCTGTGCGGGAAGAGTGGTGGCCTTTCTCTTATTAAAAAACCTCTCTGAGTTTGTGTTTTTTTCTCAGGAACTGTTTTACAGCCACCAGTACGAGATTATTCAAGCCAAGTGTGTGGGGTATTTTTTAGCACTCTCTGAGTTTCTGCTTTTCTCATCCTGACTAGTTTCTGTCCTTAGACTTTTGAGTTTTGGTTGCCCTTGTTCTGCTTTTTTGCCTGATCTGTTTTTGAACTGTTACCTGGATTCTGCCTGCAAACTACCTTGGACCTGTCTTTTGACTCCGGCTTGGATTATCCCCTTGGTACCTCTGCATCTCTCTGATCTTCTGGTCTGGACACGGGCTTCATTACCTGCTCTGGGTTCTGCCTCTGTACCCTCCTGCACTTCAGCGTCTGCTGGCTGCTCTGCTCCGCTCCTGGAAGCACAAAAGAGCTGAATCCAGAGCAGGGGACGAAGCAGGGGTCAAAACCAGAAGATCAGAAAGTCACAGAGTTACCAACAGGATAATCCAAGCCAGGATCAGGGGACAGATCGAAGGGCACTAACAGACTAAGTTCAAACAGCAGTCCGAGCACAGGGAATAGGCAGAAACAGGATGGAACAGGGGCAGGCCAAAACTCAGGAATCCAAAGGCAGCTTGTGCTGGATCCAAAGAAAGTTTGACAATTGTTCATGCTGGAGCTTCCAGCAAAAGAACACACACAGCAATGTTATGGCATGAGTTTTTCAGAAGGGAAGGCAGTGCCCAGTGTGTATAATCTGTAAGAATAACAGAAGCATCAAACTTTGTGTAAAAACTGCTACATGGGACAGTTATATGCTAGATTTTATACATATTACATATTTTGTAAAATATCCTACAAGCAGGGACTTACAGGTACATATGGTGACTTTCAACTGGTCCCTATATGGTAAAGTTCAGTTATTTGAGTTGGTGTTAGGGTTAGGTTAGGGTTATGTATATGTTGGTAACTGTTAGGGTTAGGGTAAGGATGTGGGTTAGGAAATATTAAATGAATGCAAGTCATTGAAATGTCCCCAGGTGTCATGAAACAAAGCTTTGTGTGTGTGTGTGTGTGTGTGTGTGTGTGTGTGTGTGTGTGTGTGTGTATGTGGGTCCTGTTTTGCCAATATACTGTAGCTCTGGGAATAGATGTCCCAGAGTTGGATGATAGCCCAACAGCTTTGCTTTCACAAGCAGACCTTTATGACTGTTGCCATAAGACTTGCTGCATACTTGTTTATTATACTTTATTGAAATTTATTTAGGGAGTAAAATCGTATGCCGCCACAGAGACAGAAAGGAACATAAGAAAGAGGAGATGAGAATTAGGGGGGGATAGAGTCAGGAAAGAGTGCATTGTCAGCCTCAATACCTGTGTTGTGATATTTTACCTGTAGATTATGAATATATGATAAACTAGAACTTGAGTTGTAGTTATGTTGTTAGTTGAATAATTATAACTATAACGTGTCTATTCACAAGGATTTTAGGCCTCTCACACTCTGGGTGGCTTCTGGACCGGCTGTTAGAATCCAGTTGTTCTCCCCAATTTAGTGACTTAGTATAGGCTTTTAGGAGAGCTAATAACTACCAACCAAAGAAATATTTGTCTCTCTTTTTTCAAATGTCACGAAAAGGAGAGTGAATCTGGGCGGAGTGATAAACCATTCGCTGTACAAAGCACAAACAACTGCAAGTTAAGCAATGCTGTCTTTATTTCTAATAATCCAGTATTACAGAAATCTAACATCTATGCAAACTGCAGTGTTTTCAACCTCGAAGATGTTGGTGACACCGAGTTAAACCGCTAATGAAGACCCAGGTGCGATTCAAGCGTGTTTATTGCCTTCATCGAAATGCGGTGAAAACTGTAATAAGAGAAAATAAACTCAATCTCTATACATAGAGTCGTTGCATACAAAATAAAAGTGCATCAAACTGAATAAAGTGACATTTCAGCATAAACAACAACATAATGCAACTTACGGCATTCCTGTCTGATAATTCAGTGTGGATGGCATCAGATTTCACATTTCCATACCGTTTGCAGCACATGGACCTCTCTGTTTCCTATCGAAACCCAGAACAGGAAGTGCGTCACCGCAAACCGGAAGTAGATTTTACCGATAATATTTTTCTCTAAAAACGTAAATAAACTATGAATTATACATCTATTCAACTTTTAATCACTTTTAGCAGCATTAAAACATTTTTTAATATTATTTCTTTAACCCATTTATATTTTATTATATTTTATATTTAACAAAATGCCTTAAAGGCAACACACTCCCCGCCTGGCCTCCTGAGGGCACTGTACTAAACAAACATTATACATTCAGTCCTTTGGCATGAGAAGAATAACCTCGGTAACCGGTCGCATAAAAGTCTTTACACAGCCTTGGTCCCATGCCTTCACCTCGATCTTCCTTACTCGATTGTCCTTGCCTGGGAAAGTGGCAGTGACTCTTGCCATGGGCCAGCTGTTCCGTGTGACCTGCTTGTCCTTAAGCAGAACCAGATCACAGACTTGGAGGTTTCTGCGGTATACGGTCCATTTCTGCCTTTGTTGCAGTGTGGGCAAATACTCTCGCCTCCAGCGGGTCCAAAACTGATTTGAAAGAGCTTGGACTTTTCTCCATTGCTTGGTGTAAAGGTCTTTGTCCAGGAAGTCTCCAGGGGGTGGTAAAAGGCAAGATTTTTGTGTAAGGAGTGTTGAGGGAGATAGGATAAAGGGGTTCTCTGGATCAGAGGAAACTGGGAGGGGTGGTCTTGGATTTATGATGGCTGTGATTCCGGTCATGAGTGTGGACAACACTTCGTGAGTCAGTTGCGACTTATTTTGAAGTAGCATGGAGTCCAGGATTCTGCGGGCGACGCCGATCATGCGCTCCCAAGAGCCTCCCATGTGTGAGGCATGTGGCGGATTGAATTCCCAGGTACAACCTTGATCTGATAGATATTGTTGCATTGATTTGTCCATTCCTAGTTCTTTCGAAGCTCCAATGAAATTGGTGCCACGATCGGATAGCAGCTGTTTGGCGGGGCCTCTTAGTGCAAAGAAACGACGTAGGGCGTTAATGCAGCTGGATGTGTCTAGAGATTCGATCACCTCTATATGCACAGCTCTCGAACTCATGCAGGTGAACATGATAGCCCAACGCTTGCTTTCGGCTTGTCCGCCCCTGGTACGCCTTGTTGTTATAGTCCAAGGCCCAAAAACATCAAGGCCGACGTAGGTGAAAGGAGGACATGTTTTGAGGCGTTCGGGTGGTAGATCTGCCATGCGTTGTTGTTCCTGTTTTCCGCGCAGCTTGCGGCAGATTATGCATTTGTGGATTACTGAGTTTACTAGTCTTTTGCCGCCAATGAGCCACAAACCTGCAGCCCTGATTGCTCCTTCCGTCAGATGACGGCCTTGGTGTT